AAAAATTATAAAATATTTTTATATTTTAAAAAAATAGATCAGATATGAATTTATAAAATTTAAGCAGGCAAATTTGCTTGCTAAAACTGGATGGTTTAAGGGATAATAAATTAGAAAATGCATCAAATAATAATATTAAAGCAAAGGTATGGGATGATATTTTTGATGACTTTAATCAATTTTTTCTAAATAACAAAAATCGTAATATTAATGCAGTTAAAAATAAATGGAAAGACTTGATAACTCGATACAAAAATGTTGTAGATAATAATAAAAGAACTGGTGCAGAAAGAATTGAGTGTGATTTTATGGAGGATTTGGGTGAAATTTTAGACAAAAATCCTAGTGTAAATCTGTTAATAACATCAAAAAAAAATATTAGTGTTCAAAAAACTAGTAAAAAAAGTAGAAAAAAAAATGATAAAGATGATGTTTTAGAATATCTTAAAAGAAGAGAGGAAAAAACTGATAAATTTAGAGAAAATTTTTTAGAAACGGTTAATAACTTCTTAAACAAAATTTAATAAAATTATACATGAATATAAAGGTTAAAAGTTTAAATATATTTACTATGATGTGTATTAAGTTATTCATAGAGCTTCGGATTGCTCAAATTAAGCCTAATTTTCTAGCTTTTTCTTTCACATCGCACTAATATATAATTCTAAGTTGACCATATAGCCATTAAATACTTTGAATTGGCTCCGGATTCAAACTGAAAATTTCCATTTGTACATAATAGAATTTTTGCAGTTAATACTTACAATAAAAATTGATGATTCCAATATAAATTTACTCACATACCATGGGTAGTAATTGAGTTCTGTAACAAAGTTTTTCAGTAGCTCATAATAGAAATCACATTAATTCTAATAATATTTAAGACATATAGCATAAATAATGCATGAAAGTTGATTTTTAAAAATCATATAAGTGATAAAAGAGACTAAGAATGTCTTAGGAAGTAACTCTGCATTGAGGGATATCTAAAGTTAGGTAGTAATTTATACAGGGCATGGGATTTTTAATTAGCAAATTTAATTTTAAAAAACTACCTGGCTTTAGACGACCGCTATATGAATTCGCATGTTTTGACTTTACATATTGATGACAGCATGATCGATAATTGCATATTATCACAGTAATAATCATCTTACGTTTATCTAGTAAAATTTTCTACGTTCAGGTCACATTTTTCAGATATGACCAATAAAAAACATTAAAGTGTACAAACCTAGAATTGAGTTATAAAAAAGATTATAGTTATAAGAGTAGTGCGTAATAGTAATAGTAACCTGATCCGTTCAATTAATAACCGGGTTAACCGTTGAACCACCTGGTTTACAGATTAGCAAAACAGTAAACTGGTTACTTTTAACGGCTAACTGGTTATATTTCAGCTAACCACTATACTGTCTTGATAATGCTGTTAAGTTCAAATTATAGTCAAATATACTATGAACTAAATAATACATATCCTAAATTTTGTGTTTTAATAAATTTATATAGTAAATTACTTAAGCGCAAGCCTCTAACTACTCTGTTACATACTTAGGACTTTCAAGTTTATAATAATGGACTTGGCCTTTGAAAATCCAATTATCGATAAAATAAAGTGTAATTAAATTATCCAAGGATCAAATCCATTAAATTATATAGAAACTATAAAAATCCAAGGATCTTATGTAATATGTTAACCTTATGAGATTTGGTTTCTAATTATGTTAATAATGTCCAATATAAATAGCACCATGTCCAATAAAAATTTTATTTGGACTTGGACAAATACGGACATGGACTAATTCAAAGAGCGCTATATCCATATTTCAGAATTTAACCTTAAGCCTAGCCTTATATACTCATTCGATTCGAAACATTTCAGAACAAGAGCTACATGTTTGATTTGGACTAAGTGCCTTATGTTGAATGAAAAAATATGGACAATATGGGCATAGTCCATATCCATCGGGCATATCTATATTTTGCAAACACTGGCACCATCAAAATCATTCATAAATAAAACTTATCAAATCCGTAGAGCATTACTATTAGCATTACTCTGATATAAAATTAATCACATAATGAAGCCACAGGTATATGCATAAGTTCGCAAAGTAATAGTTTTAATATCAGATATAGATTTCTCAGATTAACCAAAGTTAACCAGTTATCAACAGGTTTATAGCCGGTTACTAATTGTTTTCAACAGTTCTATTCACTGGATTATTGGATTAACCCGGTTCTGAACACTAGTGCGTAAGTTCTGTAACAGAATTTTTTTATATTAACATGTGATAGAAATATGATAATCTCAATACTCATATTAGCAGAACTCAAATAAGTCTTATGAAAGAATTCTTTTATTAACTCATGAATAAATCAATGCTCATAGGCATTATTTTGAAATTTTGAATAGCGCTTATGAGCGTTCTGAATTAATGAACAGGGGAAACATTGAAACATCACAGAATTTTTACACAATTGATAAAATTTTTTTAATATTATTTTACAATACTTTTTTGAAAGGCTCACTTGACTTATCTTTTATATGAATATTGAAAATGGTTAAACAAACATGAATGCTTTACAACATATTTTTTGAATCCACTTGAATCCAACAGTTTCGTCTTTTTGTAAATTTCGCAATTTGATTGGTTGACTAATCCTGTAGTGATATTTGACTGGTCGATACAATGAGTGATCTGTGTAATGGAGAATGAAATTATATCTATATTTGGACGTTTCCTCCTGTTGAATTAATGTGTATCTCTACATAAAAATAAAAAAACATGTACTCTAAAACTAGGTTCAGTACTAAGTAAACATACTTTTGAGCTTAACAAAAGTTGTTTTTTATATTGAAGCATGTAGGTTTACTTAGTACCAACCTAGTTCTGGTGTATTTTTTTAATCTTATTATGATTAAGAGAAAAATAATACGCAGATGGGCATTATTTCGTGGCTATACAGTATTTATTTATATTTTTTATTGATTTTTTTATTTTTTTATTTTTTTTTAACCTAATCTTTTCTTTATATTTTGATTTTTTTGATTTTTTTTAATTGAATTTTTCTTTTTTTTGAATAATTTAATTTTAAATTTGTTTTTTTAAATTTTTTTTAAAATTTTAAAAATCTTTTGGAAGTAATATAAATAATATCAAGAAATAATTGTGTTGGAATAGTGTGTTTGAAAAGGCTATAGTAAAGTTCAGAAAGTCATAGTTAAGAAAGTGATAGCAGTTATTATTAGAGAAGTAATTGTTGAAGAATATGTTGTTAGAGGTAGTTTATTGGGGAATTGATTATGTTAAAAAGTAATTGAGTTGAAAATTGGTTGGGAGTAATTAGTTGTCAGAAAATTAGTTAATAGAAAATTGGTATATTAAAAAAATAATAGTGTTGAAGAAGTAATGTCAGGAATACAAAAATAGAGATAGCAACAGTTGGCTAATATTAGCTAGGCCAGTAGCTATATCTTATAATCTAGTAAATCAAATTGAATAATTTATATACTTAATCATAAGATATAGTTATAGCTGGCTAATATTAGCTAACTGTTGCCATCATTTTAGATAGCATTTCAACAAAAAATTAGCAACCCTCTGTAATTTATACAAGTTAAATTTTAAAATCAGGTATAATGTAATATCTAAAACAAACATATTTTGTTTTCTAAACTGCATTATAGTTAGGTTTTGATAAAAACAATATAAGGTTAGTATTGAAGCTATAGTTGTTCATTGGAAAATTAAATAAATACAATTTTGCAAAAATCTGTATTTTTGCAAATTTTTAAGAATTGTTGTAAAAAATCTGCAAAATTTTTTAGAATTTGAAGTTTTGCGCAGAATTGCATCTAATTTTTGTATTTATAGTATAAATTTTGAAGTTTTGTGCAGATTTTCATTTGATTTATTATTTCATTTTTTTGAAAATCTGCGCAAAACTGCAATAAAAAAAATTTCTGCTAATAGACAAAACCTTATTCACATAGTAATAAAAAAAGATGAAATCTCTAATGAAAGATAAAACTTAAACTTAAAATAATGAAACCTTATACTCAAAAAATAAAATCTTAGTACTCCTGCTTAAAAATAAATAAAATTAAAATTAAAATAAAAAAAAATAAAAAAAATAAAATTAAAATAAAATTAAATTAAAATAAAATTAAAAATAAACAAAAAAAAACAAAAAAAAAAGATTGATTTTTAGTATAACTGAGCAATATAGAAATTATAATATAAATAAATAACTATTTAAAATAATTTAAGCAAATTTGAGAATAGTTAGAGTTAGAGTTAAGGTTATAGTTTATACTGTATTAAAGTTAACTTAAAGTTAGAGTTAGAGTTTTTTATATTATAATCTTATAATATTTCTATATTGCTTAATTATTCTAAAGAAGATTCAAAACAAATAACAAATGTTATTATTGAATTAATATTCATAATTTATTTAGAAATCAATATCCAAAATTACATATATGCTAGCAAAAATAATTCAGTTTATTTTCTTTAGACAATACTAGAGTTATTATATACTAGTTAAAATAATGAATATTCTATAGAATAGGTAGACAATATAAAAAATAAACTTCATTAACAATTAGTAATTATTAATAAATATTTAGTAGAGTTGCAAAGTTTGCCTACCTATTCTATAAAACATCCTAAATTTATAAGATTACAAAGCACTAAGCAATTTTTCATTAGAACTAATATGTAGTGTACTAGTATATTATTCAATGCCTTACTATTAACAGTTATAAAATAAATCAATTATTTTATAGTATTTTTATATAATAAATTATTGTTTTTTTTTGGATGTTCTATAGAATAGGTGGGCAATATAAAAATAAACTCTGCTGATGATTAATAATCATTAATAGATATTTAGTGGAGTTGCAGAGTTTGCGGAATTTGCCTACCTATTCTATAGAACATCCTTTTTTTTATAAATTAAAATAGTAAACTTATTAAATAAAACTGTTATTGCATATTTAATTAATAACTTCTATATTTTATAGTTAATAAGAATTATTTAGCAACTTAGCCAATACAGCTAAGTTGCCAAATAATTATTATTAACTATAAAATACAGCAGTTATTTTATACTTTACATGCAATAACTATATAAATTTAGTGTTTCTACAAACTAGACTTAGACCAAACTTTAATTAAGTTTGAATCCAGTTTGAAATTCAAACCAGACTTAGATTTAAACTATTTTAAAACTTAGTTTGGTCTGGGTTCAAATATCAAACTTTTTGCATAGTTTGAGTCTGGTTTGAGCCTAGTCCAAAGTTTGCAAATATGTTTGAGTCCAAAACCCACCATCATGATATCATACAAAATGAATAATAATACTCTTATTTTTCACTAAAAAAATAAGCTGTGGGTAGATTTCTTGTTATATAACCAAAAATTTACTTTTTATTCTCATTATTGCCACCTTTAATTTGATTTCTTATTTTATTTAATCAGAAATAATTATAATAGTGGGTAAGCTATTTTTATATTTA